ACCGATTCCATGGCAATCCGCCCAGCGCAGGCCACCAAAGACAGCTTGACCCTTGTCCGTGTTGCCATCGCTTGTGTAGGCGCTGTTGTGGCCGTGGTAGCAAATAGCGATGTCCGCACCGAGGGGCGCTTGCTCCAACGACTGCGCAGCTTCGCGCTCGAGACATGCGCCTCGGTGCTCCTTTTATGATCAACGGAATGTCAGAACCTGGTCTCGTTCACAGCGGGCGAAAATGTACATACAGCGTAAGCCACGCCCAGCAGGGCAACAACAGGGAAAAGCTTGAGGATCTGCATCGTAGAAATGCTCGATAGTACTGCTGGTATGGTGAGTGATGGATGGACGAGACCCCACGAATGTGGCTGCAGTCTTGGCTTTATAGGTGGCGTTTGACGATCCACTGTTTCGGCGCTGATGAAGGTCGATCGCACGTGCCCCGTCTTGCCTTTGACCGCGGCGTTTGCCACCCACTTTCATAGGAACGTGGGCGACATTGCGGATGGGGTCTCTCGCTGGGACCCTCGGAGGTCCTGGGCACACGGCCAGCTTCGACGGATCCAAAGAGCGACGCATGTGTTGTTCGCCTGTGTTGTTCGCCTTTGCTGTTGGCGTTTGCCATCCACTTCATAAGGGCCCTAGCTGCGTCCTCTTGTGGGCTGGATTGGTTCCGAATGACGCGAATTCAGTCGACTGGGTCGGGTCCCCTCTTCTTCATTTGTATGCGTCGCTAAGCTAGAACGTGCCGATTTGTGTGGCGACCTCGTCGCTGCACTTGATCAAGTTTGTCGTTTACCGTAGACTGATCCACAAAGAGATTGAAAAGGTCGACGAGCTGCTCAGCTTGCTCGTCACCGTTTTGCTTCATCATAAAGACGCCGTCAGCGCACACCTTCGGGTCACATGACGCGGCATGGATTGCATCATACTATGAACGTGCGGGAGTGATAACCAACCTCGGGCGGTGGCATGGGCATGAGTCGCTCAATCACCAGAGGATCAAGGAAGTGTCGCAGTAGATGGTCTTGTCCTCGGGGAAATACTTGCAATCTGCGTTCCTCTTGACGTAGGCGAGGTTGTCCGAACCCCCGTCGCCCCAGAACTGGAAGATGTTCTCGCCCTTCATCCAGAAGCAGTCGAGACCAATTCCATCACAGTCTGCCCAGCGCAGGCCTCCAAAGACGTCGGGCGTCTTGACGGTGTCGCCCTTGTTAGTGTAGGCGCTGTTCTCGCCGTGGTAGCAAATGGCAATGTCTGCATCAGGGGGCGATGAGTCCAGCGACGCTTGAGCCTCCCTCTTCAGGCAATCGGACCGCTTCTCCTTCTGTTATCAGCAGCAAAGGATCGTCAGCTTCGTCTCATAGTCCACGGTGAGGGATCGAGCGTACATACGGCGTAGACAACGCCGAGCACGGCAAAGATAGGGAAAAGCTTGAGATTCTGCATCATAGAATGTACGATAGGTACGGATGGTAGCGTGATGCAGAGACGAGACTGACCAACTTTGCTGCCGTCTTATATATGCCTGCATCGGCGGGAATCCGATGGCCGCTCTTTACCGTAGGTCTGCACTGGTGGGGCTCCCCCACCCACTCGTTTATGCCTGCATTGGCGGGAATCGCCACCCACTCTCTGCGCCTGCACTGGTGGGTTCGCCACTTTTCACGTCTGGTTGGCGGCGTTCGACACCCACATTTGAGCTGATGAAGGAGAATTGCATTGCGTGCTGGATACAAGTACAGTGTGTGGGGCTTGGTGCGGGTGGGCATTTACAGCTGAGTCCTCTTCTTTGCCGAGTTCATATACGGGCGAAGGACCCACTCTGTATCGGCGTTGGTCTGATCGATCGTGCCCTGTTTGATCTCGAACACCCTTGCGTCGAACCTGGGCCCGACCTCTGCCAACTGGACCTCCCTGTGGCTGGTTTTGACGAAGACGTGGTGTCGGAAGGCGATAAAGTCGTTCTGGTTCGCGAACGTCATGACCCTTTTGGAGTCGTCCTTGGGGACGGGGAAGAGGAATTTGAGTGCCGACATGACTCTCGCTCCCAGCTTGGACGAAAAGCCCTCAAAGATGAGATGCGGGTATTGTTCGGAGACGGTCGAGTTTGCGTGTGCCGAGACCTCGTGTCGGAGCACAACATTGTGCAATGTGAAAAGCAGAGTAGGGCCGTGTGGAAAGTGCGAAACGACCATTGCATCGGGCACACCCCTGTGTTCGTGCAGCACCACCATGTCGGTGATCCCATTCGCTCGAGCAGCAGCCGCAAGATCAGCTACCGTATAGGAGCCCCTGTTTAGCCGTGTCGAGTTGGGGAAGAGCAGTCGGACCTCTTTGGCGAACTGCGTCAGGCGCGTGCTTGGATCGCGCGAGGTGGTCACCAACACACGTGGGTCGTACGTGCCCGCGCGCGAGTACTCGTCGTCGATACTCGTCCCAGGCGCATCCTGCGCTGCATCGAGGTTGAGGTCGCGTCCGAGGTCTGTGGCGTCCTTGCCACGAAGTTCAGCGGGTAGGGGTTTGCCGGAGGCGAGCGCTTCGCGGATGGCCTGTTTGCGGTCGTAGATCTGCTTTTCCTTGGATTCGAGCGCCTTTTTGTAGATGTATTCGCGACGCTCGCGCGTCTGTCGTCGCAACATTCTGCCGGTACCAGCGTACGATGAGAAGGAAGGTCCGAGGTTGGAGAGTCAAGGAGACGTTGGTTGGAAGACAACATCAAAGTGGAATTTCAGTGCTGGCGGAGGCGGGAATTTTTTGTCCCACTTGGCCCGACTTCCGACGCTTTGGCTGCGAGAACAAGTGAGCAAATCGTGACCAATCGGGCCGACGGCACTTTGCAAGCCTGCGAAAAAGTCGCACCCTGACCTGCTTCTTTCCCACCATCTGCCTCACCTCCTCACCTCGACGGCGCAATGTTCTCTACTGCAATCCGTCTCGGCTCACGCACGACGTACCGTGGCTCTCGCGGCTCGGGAGCCGGTGCCTCCACGCGCACCACTGCCTTCTCCTCGCCCAAATCGCGCAATGCTGCCGCCACCTCCGCCTCGGACGGAATGATCTTTAAGCGTGCCCAGCGCGGCCTGTACGACGGCAAGACGATCCAGTCCGGTCACAACGTGCCCAAGTCGCGCCAGAAGACCGCTCGAACCTGGCTGCCCAACGTCCAGAACAAGAATCTCTGGTCCGCTACGCTGCACAGGTGGTTCCCTGCGCGCGTGTCGACGTCCGCACTGAGGACCATGGACAAGCTCGGTGGCCTCGATGCGTATCTGGCCAACACAAGGTCCGAGAAGCTCGGAGAGTGGGGAAGGGGCGTCCGGGATCTGTTGGCCGTCAAGTTGAGGGAACAGCGTCTCAACGCATTGCGCAAAAACCCCCCGGCCAAGATCCAACCATAGTCCCAACAGGCTCACACACAACCTCGCCGCGCATACTTGTACACTATCAACCCACCTCACGAAGCGCAAAACGCATATCTAGCAACACGCGCACGGCAGCGCACGTGCAAAGGTACTGAGACATTCCACATTGCAGCACACAAAGCTGAAGGGAAAGGGTATATGAGCGTGACATCATCTAGGATCGTGCTGCGTCGTGCGCGGTCTATCCGCAGGCGCGCTCGCACCAGCCTCGAGCCGACGCAGGTAGTCTTCCATCTTGTCGGCGCCGGAGCGCATTTTGTGCAGCGTGCGACTTGTGAGTCTGCACCACTTGCTGCCTGTCTCTACGTCGTCCTTGGCGGCGGAAGAATCTGGTGGGTGACGCACGATGCGCATCGATGATGCGCTGTGCGCGGATCGCTGGCTGCGGTCGTCGTGCGTCGAGCTGGTTGAGGCGGTGAACGAGGTGCGGAACGACGCGGCTGACGATGCGGGTGACGACGGCCGTGCGATGATCGGACCCTCCTCCGCATCAATCCCTCCAAAGTGGCCGCTGTCCAGTTCGGATGGAGAGCTCGACGTCGCCCTCCCACGTGCCGTTGCGCTTGAGTGGCCGGCGTCCGGTCGCGCGTTCTTGCTCGGCTCGGAGCGGAGGTCAGTATCGTGCGATGAAGCTGCATGCGTTCGGAAGCGCGACGACTGTTTCTCGCCCGTCCACGTCTTGGACGTCGGCACCACCTCGAAGGGCACACCGTACGCATCGAGCCATGCCTCTGTCGCGCGCCCGTCCGTCCTCACCAAGTAGCTCGGGCGGTCACCCGCGGCAGCATGCGCAGCCATCATGCTATCCTGCACATGGGCAGGTGGATACGCCAGTGCCACCTTGAAGTCGACCTCGCTCGCACACGCCGTTCGGCAGTATACACAGGCAGCCAAGAGCTCGCGCAGATAGCGCGGTGCGCCCTCGAGGCCAAACGCATCCTTGGCCGCACTACCCTCGGCTTGGTCTGCTGCGCCGAGGCGGGTGGCGACGACGTGTGCGCGGATCTTGTCGATCTGCGCAGTGCTTGCACGGAACGCCTCCTTCTGCGCATAGATTCCCGGTGCGGGATGCGTGAGCAGCTGGTCGCCGTCGTGCGGCGCAATCGCGATCTTCTCTTCCAGCCAGCGCGTCGCCTTGCGTGCGGCGAGGTTGATGGGCTCGTCGCCCTTCTTGAGCAGGTCGAGCGTGTTGATGGCCTCGAGCGGGATGATGACGCAGGTGGCCCGGTCGCGCGTCCAGTTGTGCACGCTGCGCAGCGAAAAGATGAGCACGCTCGCATCCACCAAACGCATGCATGTAGCTGCCGTCGCCGTTGCAGACGTCGATGTTGATGCGGTGGCTGTGGTGGTGGTGGGGGTGGGGTTGAGACCGGGCCCAGTGATAGCTCTTGGTTTGGGTGGTGGATTGGCAGCATGATACCGTGGCTGTGTGGGGTTGAGTTCGGCGGTGGGAGCGCTGTGTGTGTGGCGCATGGAGCGCGGATAGGTGATCTTGCTCACATCGCGTTCGAGCTTGTCCACCTTGTCCTGGAGGAACATGACACCCATTGCGTGCGAGAGGCGGTTCTGGCGCTCTGTGCGCTGCTGCGCCGTCTCGTCCGGCATGGTTGATGGCTAGTAATCTTATGGATGCCTGCGGATGGATGCAGGCGTCTGCGGTGGCAGGGGCATGGTGTTGTGCCTGAAACGCGGGGGGAACGTGGCCGTTGTGAAGCAAAGCGTTGCAGTGGAGTGCACGGGCGTTCACAGCATCTTGGGCGTGCGTATTCAGTCGTGTGGATGGAGTGAGGGGGCGTGGTCAGCAGAGGTAGCGCGTATGGGCAGGCGTGAGAGCGAGCGAGGATGGTGTCAGTTGCGGCCTCGACTGCCAACGCCGCGGAGAATCGTCGGTGCAGCAGAGGCGCCCGGCCGTGTGGACTGCATTGCCATTGCTGCGTGAGCTCAGCCGTCCGAGCCAACCTGAGCCAGCCTGAGCCGGTCTGAGCCAAGCAGGGCCTTTCTGTGTGGAGTGAGTCGACGCGATAAAAAAAGCCGCCGCGCTCTGCTGCGCCGCATGAGTGCAGCTCAGCTCTGCTTTGTGCAGCCACAGGCTGTATCGTACGGCACCTTCCCATTAAGGCTGCGCGCCCGATGGTATGGAAATTCCCGATGAGGATGCGGCTCGATTTGTTTCAGGAAGATTTTCCAGGGCTTTGAGGGGAAGGAGATCGCACAGGCCAGCAGCAGCAGCAGCAGCAGCAGC